TATCTTTGCTCTTCATTACTTCAAAGAAGTCTTTTGCAGCAGATTTGCCCAATGCAATATGTCGTCTGATTATCTTGACTGCTGCTTCCACTGGCATTGATTGTAGAACCAAGTAATATGAAGTTTGACAATGTCAATCTTTTCTCCATCTGTTGAAAAATATCTCAATGGGATTCCTTCAATTTCTGAAGCCTTGTTTTTCACCAATCCCCTCAGTCCAGCTTGACTTCTTCTTTCAATACTATTGGTTCTCTATCATATGCCACCTCCTGAAATGGATGAACATCGACCAATATTTTTGTTACAGTAACTCTGTGTATTCCCACCATCTTTTTTTTGATGTCTCCTGCATCATACAATATATTGTCCATGAAATCTTTCAATATTACAATTTGAGGCTTAATTTTTTCCTTCAGTTCTTTCAGCTTGAGAAATGCTGAGCGTGTTCTTCCCTTTTGGTTTTCTAACTCCAGGTCTTTGCACATTTCATTGTAATAATTGACTTTGTCTTCTTGAGATGCTCTTTGAAATATTCTGTTCAGCTCTTTTGTCTTGTCATTTCTTCCATTTACTTTAACTACTCTTCATTCAAGGGCAAGTTTCAGAGTCTTTTCTGACATCCATTTTGGTCTTTTCTTCCTTTCTTGTCTTTTTAATGATATTTTGCTTTACACACACACACATACACAGATATAACTTACTTTGTGCCATGTATATCCTAAGTACTGGAAAAATAATTAAAAGCATAAATAGATAAAAATGTCTGTCCTCAGAGAGTTTACATTCTAGAGGTCATTATAGGGACATACAGACAAAATAAAACAAAAAAAGTCCACATAATACATCAGGTGGTGACAATTCAGGGAAACAGAAAATAATCACCTGGGATTTACTTTACCAAGATAATGTGCTGAACGAAGTAAGGTACTGTAAAAGTATGAAAAATCATTTTAATATTGCTGATCTCCTGATGGAGTTATACTCCTTTAACTTTAGAGAAATGAAATGATGGTTGATGAGCTTCTTGAAAGTGACAAGGTTAATAATTATTTTTATTTAAAAAGATGATAAATTCTTGGTCATGTCATACTGCTTTGGCCCAAATATTTTTTAATTTCCTCATTAACAAATTCCTATATTGTTAGTTTTTTTTTTAATATATTAATAATTTTATCTATTTACAGATATCAAGCAAGGTTATAACTATTCAACGCAGCAACTTGCTAATACTAAATCTCATTGTTAAACTTAAGCCTTGATTGATATTGTTGTTGTTGTTAGGTTCTATTGAATTGGTTCCAACTCATAGCAAGCCTAAGCACAACAGAACAAAACACTGCCTGGTCCTGCAATTCCTCCCAGTCCTTGCTCTTTGAGCCCATTTTTGCAGCCACTGTGTTGATCCACCTCATTGAGGGTCTTCCTCTTCTGTGCTGACACTCTACTTTACCAAGCATGATGCCCTTCTGCTCAAAGTCCTGCTATCCTTGGTTCTAACGAGCATTCTGACTATACTTCTTCCATGACAGATATACTCATTCTTATGACTTTATTTATGTATCAAGTTCCTGTTTTTCTAACCTTAGCATATCACACATGGACATGCACAAATACACCACACAAACCTATACAATCACTGTTGATATTCAAATAATATACACTTGTGTGTGCATACTGAAGTATTTCTGTAGTGGTTGGTAACAATTTGCTGCTCAGAGACTCTCAAGCATCGTACTATTTCTCCAAGCCTCCTCTCAATACTGTTCAAAGTCCCTCTCACTGTTGAGGAACTAAAGGCTCAATCCCTGGCATGGTGGGGCTTTTAGGAACCTTCTCCAGTAAGGTCTGGTGCTGTCTGTTCTGCTTATTGGGTGCCTGGGCCATAATGTATCAAAGGTGAGAAGGAACAAGCGGGACATGGAGAACTGAGGAAAATCCAGTGGAACACTGGACAAGATACTTAACCATTTCATGACCTGTGGGTCATATATGCCCATCTATGTTTTCTGCCTCTGGTGTGTAATGTGATTCATTTTAGCATATGCAGTCATATGGTGGAGGCCTGTATAACTGTATGAATCTGAAGAAATGGGTGTCATCTCACCAATACTAGGATCTGAGATTCCTTGGGACATATGTGTCCCACTATTTGTATCAACATCTGTTTTGGTTACCTAGTGTGTGGCATCAGGATTGAAGGAAGAGTCTTTAACAACCTGAGATATGCTGATGATACAAATTTGCTTGGTGAAAGTGAGGATGACTTGAGGCACTTACTGATGAAAATTGAAGAATACAGTCTGCAGTATGGATTACATCTCAACACAAGGAAAACAAAAATCCTCACAACTGAACCAATAAGCAGCATCATGACAAATGGAGAAAAGATTGAGGTTGTCAAAGAATTCACATTGCTTGGTTCTACAATCAACGCCAATGGAAGCAGCAGTCAGGATATTAGGCTGCGGAGGAACTCTTTCAAGTGCTGAGGAGCAAGGATGTCTCCTTGAGGACCAAGGTGCACCTGACACAAGCCAGGATACTTTCAATCACCTCATATACATGTGAGATCTGGACAATGAATAAGGAAGACCAAAGAAGAGTTGATGCTTTTGAGATGTGGTGTTGACAAAGAATGCTGAACGTACCATGGACTGCTAAAAGAACTAACAGATCTGTCCTGGAGGAAGTGCACCCGAAATGTTCCTTGGAAGTGAGAATGGCCAGACTTTGTCTCACCTACTTTGGTCATGTTGTAAGAAGGGACCATTCCCTGGAGAAGGATGTCTTGCTTGGTAGGGTGGAGGGTGGACGAAAGAGGGGAAGGCCTTCAATGAGATAGATTGACTCAGTGGCTGAGACAATGGGTTCAAGTATAGCAAGGATCATGGAGCTGGTGCAGGATTGGGTGGTATTTCGTTCTGTTCTGCATGGGGTCACTATGAGTCGGAAATGACTCGACAGCACCTAACAACAACAACACAGTGCTGCTCTAACAGAAGATACCACAAATGGAATGGCTTTAACAGGAGTTTATTCTCTTACATTTTTGGAGGCTTTAAGTCTGAGTTCAAAGTGCCAGACTCTAGGGGCTAGATGAAAGCCCCTCTTCCTTGGGTTTCAGCTCTGTCTCCTGATCCTGGCCCACTGAACCTGGGGGCTTTTTCCTCACTCAGGCAGCTCCTGGCTGCTGAGACTAACAAGCCCAAGGTTGACAAGTAAAAAGGCACAGTTCCAATATTACTAAATAACACAGCAGGCCACTGATTCAAGATTGGCAGAGCATGGCAGGCTGCTGAAAAAACAACTCAGATATATGCAGGGTTCAAGTGTGCCTTAAGCTAGAGACCATTCCCAAATATGCTTCATACGTACGGGAAGCAGACCACACTACCAACGCAGTTACTTAGCTGCTTGTGGTAGATTCCACCATGGAGATGATTGCCACCCTCATCATAGGGAATAACTACCACCAGCTGCTCAGCCACTCAACAAGGCCTAGCCAAGCAGTGTAGTAAATTACTTAGCATGGCTTTTCAACCCATAAGTCATTGTAAACTCAGTGGTGGAATGAGCAACTGAGGAGCTGATTGTAAATGTTATCCACCTGGGTTATTTCTGTTGGGCGTGGCACAATACAATGTTCTGGGAGGTGCCCACTATCTCTTAGGTGCTTAGAGTTCTGATGCTATGATTGGCTAGTTTGACCACCCTGCCAGGCTCAAAAGGAGGCCTCCTGGAGGCAGAACTCTCTCTGACTGCTGGTGGAGGAAGATGTGCTGCTGAAAGAAACACACGCCCCTGAAAGAGACACGTGCTGCTAGGAAAGAGACGCGAGAGACACGTGTTGCTGAGTGAGACACCGAGGGACCAGCACTGCTGGGAAAGAAACTGTGAGAGACTATTGGCTGAGGGACATTGGGCTGGGAGAGAGACTGAGCATTCTTCCTGAACTTGAGTTGTAGCCTGGTGCTTCCCTAATAAACCCCATAATCTGTGAGTTCTGTGTGGCCACTGCAGTGAATTATCTAACCCAGGAGAGAGGTGGTGGGTGCTTTGGGAGGAACGGTTGGTGAAAGGGCTGGAGGGAGGCAGCATGTCTGGCCTTGCAGTAATAGGCCTTGGGTTACTGCTGGTAATCCTGCCTTCCCCTTGTAGGGTTAGAGGAGGTCAGAACATGTGGCCTCCTTGCCATTTTTGCACACACAACCTTAACCACCACAACATCCATATTATCTCAGTTTTTAAAATTACATTCAAAATGCCTTCCCTTACTGAAAACAAACAAACAAACAAAAATAGCTTGATCTTGAAAGGGTTAAACTCCATGCAACTCAAAGACTTCCTTTGTTACCTTCCCCAATGGGCCACTGTGAGCCCTAAAGGAATAATACAAAGTGCCTGCACAGAACTCTGGTAGCACAATCAATTATGTCCTTGGAGGTTAATTGAAAGCTGGCAGTGCAAGACTTAGTGACCTGCTTCTATAAAGATCATAAAATCTAGAAAACCCTATAAAGCAGTTCTCCTCTGTCACAAGGGGTCACTCTGAGTAGAAAATAACTCATTGGCACAAGTAACAACAACACAAGCCTAATATGCAATAGACACACAACAAATGGCAACTATTAATTTAAAATAATTCATTTGTTTCCCATATCTACCCTGTGAGGTGAATAACATTAGCAATTACATTTTATAGATGTAAGTGATATGCCAAAATCCTTGGTATCTTCCCACTTCAAAGGGTTGTTGTAAGAAAAAAATGAGTTAAAACTTGTAAAGTCCTAAGAATGGATCCTGACACAGAAAGAGCACTCGATGAATTAAATCATTACTATTATTGAGTAGCACTATTATTGAGTAGCACTTGTTGTTGCTGTTATCCCTGATAGGTTAACAGCTGTCTAGCCATAAAGCTCAAAGGTAACCCGGGACACAGCCCTACACCATCCAGCTGAATTTAATCCTTAATGCGGAGCATCCACGATTTGGCGCACCTGATGCAGGGCACCCACAATTTTGCGTGCCTCCTGGTAGACGGTGTCTGCGCTCCAGTGAGGGTTGAGAGCCTTCAGGGCGACTGCTAGGCGATTGTGTTCGCGCAGCCAAAGCGTGTGCAAGGCGGTCAGGGAAAGGACTTCGCTGGCGCGGCCGTCTCCTGCCAGGAAACACTCCACTCGTTCTGTGCTAGCGGCGCCAGGCTCCTGGGCACAGGGCGAGGGCACACGCAGCGGCACAAAGGGAAGGTACGCGTGGACCCCATTTCGGTAGCGCTGGTTGACCCGGAGCAGCCCTTCCTCGCTGGTCCAGTTCCTTAACTTCTTCTCCAAGGCAGGGTTGCTGCCATAAACAGTGGATGCGTCGAGGAAGGAGGTCAGCCCGTTCATCTGCTGTCTTGGATTTGACTTGGAGAGGTTTCCAAAGAATGCTCCTTGGTCCCCAGTGCCACAAGCAGCAGAAGATCGGTAAAAGGGCAAACATTCAGTGCCCGCGGTCAGTGAGTCGTTGAAGGGGAGCTGCTGGGTAAAGAGGAAAATCAAGTTCATTTAGAATTCTTAGACCCCTTCTGTAAAGACAATAGAAGTGCACTGCCAAGGATGACCCTAGACCACTTGGTCATTTCTCTGTGTGCAGACTTTCTGTGATGGATCAGTTCACCATAGCCCTTCCGGTTACCCCAACCTATCTTCTCCCAGGGTGGGTCACTTGTCTGGGAGAGGCAGAACCTAGCAGGATTGAGTCACCATCCTATGGCTTATTGGATCCACAAGCAATGCACATTGGAACAACGGTCAAGAAATCAAATGATGTATTACATTGGGCAAATCTGCTGCAAACAATCTTTTAAGTGCTAAAAAGCCAAGATGTCACTCTGAACACTAAGGTGCCCTTGACCCAAAGCATGTTATTTTCAGTCACCTCATATGCATGTGAAAATTGGACAATAAATAAAGAACACTGAAGAAGAATTGGTGTATTTGAATTATGGTGTTAGAGAAGAATATTGAATATACCATGTATTGCCAGAGGAATGAATAAAGCTGTCTTGGGAATGGTACAGCCAGAGTTCTCCTTAGAAGTAAGGATTGAGAGTCTTCTCTCACATACTTTGGGTATCTTATCAGGAGAGACCTGTCCCTGGAGAAGGGTATCATGCTTGATAAAATAGAGGGTCAGTGAAACTGAAGAAGACCTTCAAAGAGATGGATTGACCCAGAGGCTGCAACAGTGGGTTCAAACATAGCAACAATTATGAGGATGGTGTAGGACTTGGCAGTGTTTCACTCTATTGTACATGGGAGCACCATGGTTGGAGTTAACTCAAAACCACCTAAAAACAATCCTATGCCTTAGAGTCTTTAAATTCTGAACTCCTTGAAGTTTTCTTGGACTAATCAATAATTTCACTTTCTTAGAACTGTCCTTTCTGATTATCGGATCCCCACAGCTTCTGTTTATTTTCTGACTCTTGGACAAGTTTACTTTTTTTTTGTTTTTTTTAATAACCAATTGTGCGGTATGGTAAATTACCTGGTATGGCTTTTCTACTCATAAGTCTTTGTAAACTCCATGGTGGAATTTGCTGTGAGAAAATGAGTCACTCTGATTGTTAAAATCATCCACCTGGGGTATTTCTTTTGGGAGCAGCACAGTGTTCTGGGAAGTTCGCTCTCTCTTAGGTGCTTAGAATTATGATGTTATCATGGCTTAGTTTGGCCACTCTGCTAGGCTCAAAAGGAGGCCTCCTAGAGGCAGAAGTCTCTCTGACTGCTGAGAAGGATGTGCTGCTGAGAAGAAACATGCTCCTGAGAAGAAACTTGCTCCTGAGGGACATGTGCTGGTGGGAAAGAGACTCAAGAGACACTCATTGCTGAGAGAGACTCCCAGGGACATGCACTGCTGGGAGAGAGACGATGAGAGACTGATGGTAGAAGACAGCAGGCTGAGAGAGACTGAGCATTTTTCCTGAACTTGAATTGTAGCCTGGTGCTTCCCTAATAAACCTCATAATCTGTGAGTTCTGTGTGGCCACTGCAGTGAATTATTGAACCCAGCAGAAAGGTGGTGAGTGCTGGGGGAGGAATGGTTGGTGTCAGGGTTGATGAAAGGGCTAAAGGGATGCAGCATATCTGGCCTCACAGTAATGGGCCTTGGGCTACTGATAGTGATTCTGTCTTCCTCTTGAGGAGTTTGAGGAGGACAGAAGATATGACCTCCTTGCCTTTTTAGCAAATGGGAATATATGAGTTAAAACTTGTAAAGTCCTTAGAATAGAGAAGAGCACTTGAAGAATTAAACTTACCCGACTCGATGGCACATAACAACAACAACAACAACAACACTATTATTGAGTAAGAGTTGGTGTTGCTATTATTATCCCTGATAGGACAACAGCCAGGGAAGAACACACTTGAAATTTCTCAAACTGAAAGAGCTGAAGATAATTTCAAGTCTTGAGTTGCAATACTGAAGGATACCATGGGCGAAATACTGAATATGCAGGAAGCATCAAAAGAGGAGGGAAGGACTACAGAGTCATTATATCAAAAATAATTGGTTAATGTCCAAATATTTCAGGAGGTAGCATATGATCAAGAACAAATGGTGTTGAAGGAAAAAGTCCAAGCCACACTGAACTATTGGTGACAAACAAGGCTCCAGGAATCGATGGAATACCCACTGAGATTCTTTAACAAATGAATGTCGTGCTTGAAGCACTCACTCATCTATGCCAAGAAATTTGAAGACAGTTACCTGGCCAGCTGACTGGAAGAGATCAATGTTTTTGCCCATTCCAAAGGAAGGTGATCCAACAGAATGTGGAGATTATTGAACATTATCATTAACATTACAAACAAGTAAAATCTTACTGAAGATAATTCAAGATAATTAAAAAATAGTTGCAGCCATATATTGACAGGGAAATTCCAGAAATGCAAGCTGGATTTAGAAGAGGATGTGGAACAAGAGATATCATTGCTGATGTCAGATGGATCTTGGCTGAAAGCAAAGAATACCAGAAAGATATCTACCTGTGTTTTATTGACTATGCAAAGGTGTTTGACTGTGTGGATCATAACAAGGTATGGAAAACATTGTGAAGAATGGAAATTCCACAACTCTTAATTATCTTAATGAGGAATCTGTACATAGACTAAGAGACTGTCGTTTGAATGGAACAAGGGGATATTGCATGGTTTAATATCAGGAAGGGTGTATGCCAGGGTTGTTGTATCATTCCAACATACTTATTGACTATGTATGCTGAGCAAATAATCTGAGAAGCTGGAAAAAGAACGTGGCATCAGGATTAGAGGACGACTCATTAACAACCTGCAATATGCGGATGACACAACCTTGCTTGCTGAAAGTTAAGATGACTTGAAGCACTTACTGATGAAAATCAAAGACTACAGTCTTCAGTATGGATTACAATTTAACATAAAGAAAATGAAAATCCTTACAACTCGAACAATAAGCAACAGCACAAGGATTTCATTTTACTTGGATCTACAATCAATACCCTTGGAAGCAGCAGTCAGGAAGTCAGATGTCTTATTATACTGGGAAAATCTACTGCAAAAGATCTCTTTAAAGAGTTAAGAAGAAAGATGTTAGTTTGAAGATTCAGGTGTGCCTGACCCAAGCCATGGTATTTTCAATCATCTCATATACATGTGAAAGCTGGACCATGAATAAGCAATGAATAAGGAAGACTGACGAAGAATTGATGTCTTAGAATTGTGGTGGCGCAAAATACTGAAAATACTACCGACTACCAGAAGAACAAACAAATCTGTCTGGAAAAAGTGAAGCCAGAATGCTCCCTGGAAGCAAGCATGCCCAGACTTCATCTCATCTACTTTAGTTATGTTCTCAGAAGGGATCACTTCCTACAGAAGGTATCATGCTTGGTAAAGTAGAGGGTCAGCCAGAAAGGGGAAGACCTTCAACGAGATGGATGGATGTGGTGGCTGCAATGATGAGCTCAAGCATAACAAAGACTGTGAGGATGGCGCAGGACCAGCCAGTGTTTTGTCCTGTTGTGGATAGGGTCACTATGAGTTGGAGCTGACTCGACGGCACCTAACAACAACAAAGACACATGCTTCGTTTACAAAAATAGTGGGCAAATAGATACATAGGTATGGGTAACATTTAGTGGGAAAACCAATGGAGCAGAAGTGAGGAGACTATGGGCTCTGGTTCTTATTCTGCCTGTAGCCAGCCTCAGTTTCCTCATGTATAACATGAAAATCTAAAAATATGTGTTAGCATGGCACATTTCCAAGTTTCTTATGCAAAATCAAGTAAGGTACTGAATGTGAAAGTGTTGTATAAACTGAGAAAAGAACTTGATCTTCATAATAACAACTCTTCCTTATTGCACATATACAAAGGATCAGACCCTGCACTAGGTAATTGACATTTAATCTTTACATCAACACTACGAAAAGGGCCTTATTATAATCTCTGTTGTGTAGTTACTGAGTCTGAGATTTTGTTGTTGTTGTTATGTGCCGTCGAGTTGTCTCCATAGGGCACAAACTCAAAAAGAAGGACTTTTACTCTAAATAGCACAGGGTTGTGTTATTGAGAGTTAACATAATGGGCAAAGCACTGTGCCAAGCACTGTGGAGAATAAAAAGATCCTATGACAATGGACTAAATTCTTAATGGCTTTCTTGCAGAACAATATACAAAATTTTGTAAAGAGCTGTCATAGAATGTAGCTAAGAATTTAAATAAACATTACTGACAATAAATTCTAAGTGCTGACAGAAGTTGGTGTCAGGCATCAATCAGTATTAGTTGGAATTAATATTGAAAGTAGAACTTAAGATTGTCTTTTAAGTATCCTTGAATCTTTCTCTCCTCTTCATTCTAGAGTTAACTTGCCTTATCAACAGGCCCATAATACTTCTTTCTATACAATTATTTATAACACTTTCACAAGGAAATACAGTTAGTTCTTTTCTTTTCTTTCTTTTTTTTAAACTTTCTCTCCCCTTTTAAACTGGAAGTTTCTTGAAGAGTAAAACTGTCTTCCTCATCTCAAAATTCCAAATCCTCATTATGTTGTACAGTGTTTTTGTTTGGTTTCTTAAATTCTATGTAAGTGACTCAATGCAAGCAAAGGTACAGGAACATATAAAACAACAAAGAGAGAGAATGATGAGAACAGGCTTGGGAAAGTGGACTGTGAAGTTGGAGCAGTAGGCTGGGACAAGATGCCAGACAGCCTTAGGAGTCAGAACAGGGCCACTGCACTGTATTCAGTTGGTACAGTGGAGTTATGTAGCAGCCAAGGAGTGCAATAATCCAGGTATGGATGAGGAATGTCTTTAGTGTTATTGGTGCTACAAATAGCTTACAGTAACTAAACATGAAATACAATGAAAAGGAACCAGGATTATTTAGATATAGCAAAAAAACCTTTCAGACCCTTCAGAGTTTGAGTCAGTCTCTAGACAAATACTGTGGTTTATATCCATTTATAAGCCTGCCTGGTTTA